GGTGACTCCCTGCACTCCCTCCAGCCAAAAAAGCCCATTTCTGGAATGTTGGGGGGCTCTCAAGGAGTGTTTGTAGGAATCTCTGGAAGTTGGGCAGAGTCCAGGACACTTCTCTGTGTGGCAGGTGCTCAGAAAGATTTTAGCATTTCCTTCCAGCCAGGAAAATGCATACTTGGCCCTCAGGATTAATCATAAAACCAAACCTTGGCTCCAGAGAGACAATATGAGAAGGAAGGGAGGCCTAGCCTGACTCTGAAGACCAGGAAAGGAAACTTGCCAGCCTTGTCATAAAGAGCCCAGGGGGCATTTTCCTCTCAACATCTCTGAGGTAGACTGGAATTAGGGTTGGTGACAGGCCCAAGGTCCACCTAGTGAGTCGCCTGACACCCTTCACACCCCACTGGCTCCCTTTAAGCTTCCTTTAGAGACTGTGAGAAACACACCTGATGCAACTGAAGTTAATATTACTTTGCAACTAATAATCTCACGAAGAAGTCTTGGGTGGAAAGTGCTGTGCACACATGAAACTCTTTACAAATATTAATTAAAAGCTTGACAACATCCGCATAGTTGGATGTTCCTTTCCTCTTCTCACAGATCTGGAGCTTGAGTTACCCGGTGATTTAGGACTGCTAACGCAGGAGTCTTCCAGTCCGCCTTTCCTGTCTGGTGGGGAGATGAGTCAAGTGCTCTCCTTACAAAGGAGAAGGAGGAAGATGAGGCCTGTCTCCTGCACATGGAGCCACAGCTCAGGGTGGGGTGGGGGAGGTGAAGGCAGCCCGGAGTTCAAAGGAGCAAAGGCTTTCTTGCTGTCATTAAGGTATTACCAAACACTTAAAAAAAAAACCCCAAGTATAATTGACAGCCTGACTTTCTATTAACATATACCCAGGAAAGTTTACAAATGTTCAACATCTAGTATAGGCATAGGCAAACTCGGCCCTCCAGATGTTTGGGGACTACAACTCCCATCATCCCTGACCACTGGTCCTCTTAACTAAGGATGGTGGGAGTTGTAGTCCCAAAACATCTGGGGGGCCGAGTTTGCCTCTGCCTGATCTAGTATAAAGTAACAGACCAAGAGTCATTGCTGGTGAGTTGAACTGCTACACCTGTGCCATGTTTGTCTTCCTGCCTGAGAAGGTGCAAAACTACACCTGCAGCAGGTGCAAGCTGGTTGCCTTGCTGTAAAAGAAGATGCATCAACCTGAGGCCTGCCTATCCACGCTTCGAGCTACTGGGCAAGATGAGGAATTTCTCACTAGAGCGGAGTGGGCTGACCTGGAACAGCGACACAGGCAAGAGTGCCCCTAGGGAGGAGGTAGATCACCCATTGCAGGAGACAAACCCCTGGATGAACATGGCTCACAGAAGCAGGACTGTCATGAGCCATTCTGTGTCACTGGAGCTGCAAAGTCAATGCCATGCTCTTACCTCAGACGCCAATTCTGGGCCAGAGGAGCAAGGACAACAGCTGCAGGCTTCAGAACACACTGAGGTACTCGAGGAAGGTACAAAGTACAGAATTATTTCTTCCACTCCCCAGAGCAGGAAGAGACATGTAGTGGCGGTAAGTAACTCCCTACTGAGGGGAACAGGCAGCAGTGTGCAGAAGTAACACAATGTCCTGGGCAGTGTGCTCTTCTTCCAGGTGCAAAGATTCACAATGTGACAGAGAAGTTGCCAAGTCTTATAAAGCCCACTCACCTTGCCAACAAAGGTCCGTATAGTTAAAGCTATGGTTTTCCCAGTAGTGATGTATGGAAGTGAGAGCTGGACCATAAAGAAGGCTGATCGCTGAAGAATTGATGCTTTTGAATTATGGTGCTGGAGGAGACACTTGAGAGTCCCATGGACTGCAAGAAGATCAAACCTATCCATTCTGAAGGAAATCAGCCCTGAGTGCTCATTGGAAGGACAGATCGTGAAGCTGAGGCTCCAATACTTTGGCCAACTCATGAGAAGAGAAGACTCCCTGGAAAAGACCCTGATGTTGGGAAAGATGGAGGGCACAAGCAGAAGGGGACAACAGAGGATGAGATGGTTGGACAGTGTTCTCGAAGATACTAGCATGAGTTTGACCAAACTGCGGGAGGCAGTGGAAGACAGGAGTGCCTGGTGTGCTCTGGTCCATGGGGTCATGAAGAGTCGGACACGACTAAACGACTAAACAACAACAACAACATAAAGCCCACTAGCCACAACCCCTTCCTTCTCGTTTATGTGGGTGCAAACCATCCTTCTTTCTTTCTTTCTTTCTTTCTTTCTTTCTTTCTTTCTTTCACACACTCCATGTGCCTGGTGCTTTAAGGAGTACTAGAGGGAAGGCCCCTGTCCAAAATCCAAAATATGCCTGGGGAAACACTGGAGGGAGGGGTAAAATTGTGTGTGTTGGGGAGGGTCAATAGGGAACCTCTACTTGTGTGTAGAGGTCAAGCAAGTTGAAACGGGATCAGGTCCCAGCATTTAGCACACAAACCCTGAAGAAATGCTGCTGCAGCTCCCTGCCCCTTTGCCTTTCTGTTCAGGAGAGTGCCTGCTATGAGGAGACATAGGCGAAGAGCAAAACAATCCTTAAACCCACACAGGTCTGCTTGCCACAAAAGAAGTACCCCCTCTGCAGCAGATATTATCCTGGACACAGCGGCAGCAAAGGTGGGATCCAGAGGCATAACGTGACTTTGGGGGTCAGCCTAAATTCAGGATCCCTTTCAACATGTTCACCACATGCGCACCAGTAGCACACTTCAGTTCCAGGTGCTCAGGTCTTCCTTGCAGCCTCTGTGACTCTCCTCTTTTCAAGCATGTTGCAATCTCCAGTAATAAAAGGAGCAGAAGTCTGGTTCCATTCTAGGAATCTTTTTGCTGACTTCTGGGAAAATAAGGTTTCGTAAGAAGCGGTGCAGCTTCCTCAGTAAGGATCAGAAGAGAGCTTGCTTGCACAAAGGTCATAGGCATAGAGTCTGGTTCCTTAGGAAGACAGCCAGAAGCTACTGTAGGGTCAGAAAGGATGCTTCTTAACACCTGCTAAACTGTTGCAAAGCCGTGAAGAAGCTTCTCCTTCAAGCTATATGTTAAGCATTAAGGTGGGGGGGAGTAGACTGTACCAAATGCAGGTGTCAGGTAGCCGCAGGGAGAGCCTCTGAGACCAAGAAAAAGCAGTTGTTCCCCCCACTCCCACCCCCATATCCCAAAGGCAGTGTAGAATCTAGCAATTACTGGAATTTCTCTCTAGCAGAACACCTGTGAAGCAGAGCCACCTCCGAAGCAAAGATGAGGATGTAGCCTGGGTACCAGTAATCGTGACCTGGGCAAAGCATCAATGGAAGCCAAACTAGTGCTGGCAGAAAAGCATGTAATCCCCCCCCCCACACACACACAAAGAGCTAAGGCACATCATACTTAGTTGGTAGAAGATCGTCTTACATCGGTTTTTAGGATCTCTCTCCTGCATGATGTAATTTAGTATTCTCCAAAACACACAAACCTTGTAGGTGACTGTTGTCTAGAATACAAACCTTAGAGGCACAGAATTAGGACCCGGAGAGCCAGAAAGCCCTTGAGTCCCTTAGAACTCTTCCTCAGGCTGGATGTTAAGCAAAACAATTTCTTCCTCCACGCATCTAACTAGGATGCTCAGATTTTATTCTCTCTTTTTTGGGGTTATGCTTAACCTGTAGAGTTCCAGAGGTGTGTTCACAGCTCAGTTGGCCTTCATAAAAGTATCCTTGTCAACCGGTCTTCTGAATTACTTCTTGTGGTGTTAAGGTTGTCAAAATGGAGGGTCGCCAACAGTGCCATTAAGAAAAGCACACCCGCCCACCCCAAGGAGTTGCTGGTGAATGAATGAAAGGAGAAGCAGGTGGAACTACGTTTGTTCACTTCTGCCCAGGGCCAGATCTGGTGTTACTGCAGTAGTGAGCCTTTTGAGAGGAGTTTGCAGTCAGACAAGGAAGAGGGAAATCCTTCTGTGGGCAAAGGCTGGTGCGGGAAGACAGCAGGATTTGAGACAGATTTGGATTTGAAGGGGTGAAGGTTGGTGCAAGCACAGTGGTTGAGAGCCTGGCTGTGAGCAAGTAATAAGCTCACTGGGTTGCCTAAATGAGCCCCTCTCTTCAGCTTGCTATTAGGAAGAAATTGCTCTGGGATCACAGGCTTCCTTCTCCTCCCTGTTTCTGCCCCATTCTTCCTGATTGGTGGACTATCCATGGTTTACCATGACATCTGAAGAAAAGGCTCCTCTGAAACAGAACTGGAAACCACAGTTTGAAGTGTATTTTCAAGTCTTTGTAGGAAAACTGGCTTGCATTAGTCATTGATTACTCCCAACTCATGACAAACTATGGTTACCATCAACCACAATTATACAAGGGGCCAAGTGCTATAGGGATGGAGTACAGGTGCCTGAAGGATCTTCTCAAGATGGTTTGGCCTTGATAACTTCTGAATTGAGCCACTGCCTCAACCCTTGAGGTGTTGGTTCTTTCATTTATGCATCACTTCCCATGAGGCATCCAATAATAGTTTACAAAGTAATATATTATGGGGCAAATATTACCAGCTTGCCTTACTGCAGTGAGGAGGACCCTGTGGCCTGCCCAGATATGGCTGGACTACAATTCTCATAATCATCATAATTGACCACAGGCCATGCTGGATGGAGCTGGAGTCAACACAAGAAGAGCCAATGACCCATCTAGTCCTCTTCTCACAGTGGCGAACCAGATGCAACTTTGGGAAAACCCTCAAGCAGGCTCTGAGCACAAGAGCACTCTCCCCTCCTCTGGTTTCCAGCAACTGGTATTCGGAAACATTGCTGCCTCCATCAATGGAGGCAGAGCATAGCTATTGTGGTTAGTAGCCTTTGACAGACTTAATAGAGTTAAGCGCCCCAACCATTTCCACAGGATCATAGAACATTCCCCCCATTACAGGAGTACTGTAAGGAAGATGAAGGCCCAATCAATGTTACCAATGCAAAATAGAGATGCAGAGAAAGGGCTGTAGTTCACTGGTAGCACATCTGCCTTGCATGCAGAAGGTCCCAAGTTCAACCCCCAATGGCATCTCCAGGTAAGGCTGAAGAGAGATTCTCTGCCTGAAATCCTGTAGAGCTGCTACTACAGTACTGAGCTAGATGAACCCAATGGTCTGACTCAGTATAAGGCAGCTTCCTATGTTCCTATGCAGGGGAAGAAAATCCCCAAGGTTTGACACCAAACCCTATTGGCTACACATACAAAATCTACCTGCACGGTTGCCCAGAGCTTTTATCTACCCCATGGGGTCTACCAGGGTTCTCTTGAAGCAGGTTGGGCATTTTAAGAGCTCGGCCATAATCCCTGCTTTTCCAGTTGCTGCCTGCATAACACTCATCCTCAGAGTGGAGGAAATTGCTTATTTTGGGACCACGTCTCCTTTTCCTTTGGGTGGGCCCTGGCAGAATGCAGACCCTTCCCAGAAGTAGGAAATGTTCCCTCCCTTTTAGGGCTTTATTGGATGGAGCCCAGGAGCCACTTGTGAGACATCCAAGGCCGACATCACTCACCATCTGTTCACACAGCAATCCAAGGTCAAGGCTAATTGCTGGCAAATTAAATCCTACGGAAGAGAAATGCTGCGTTAGATGTTGCCTGCTTGTACTTCATTCATAGATTGCAGAGGTGGCAGGAACGTCTGCCTAATGAGATGTAAAAATAATGCATTATGAACACAACAGGAAGGAATGGTCTGTGGGGCCCATCCTGAGTTGCCGCCTCTGCATCTGGAACAGGATCCTGCTCACCTACGAAGGCCCCACAGCGCCACCATCATCTTGGACTCCTTCCTCTGCTGACCATGCTGTGCTTCGCAGAGATTCTCAGAGGTCGCTTCCAGAAAGGTGGGCTGCTTTCTTGAAACTCATTTAGGTCAAGAGCTTCTCTGTATCCCAAACATGGGGACGACCTTGAGTTTCTGATCACCCCACAATCTGCCTATGATCTAAGAAATCATTACCTTGCATCCAGGGTGGGGGAGTCTTTTCAGCCCAGAAGGCAATCTTCTGGGAGCCCCTTGCCAGTGGCTGGTGGGTTCAGAGGCAAACATGGGAAGCACTAAGCCCAAAGCAAGAGATGGGACTCTTGACTTTGGAGGCTATAGTCCACCTGCCATCTAGGCAAGCATGAAGCATTACTGGGTCTGTGGCTCTTGTGGAACCCTCTCCACCACCACCTGTGGCAAACTTGCTTAGAGTCCCCTTTTGCCTTTAAAATGTTTTCAGCTTGGATGAGCTGAAGGAAACCAAAAGCACTGGAATGCGCAACATGTGAAGACTGAATAAGGCCACATCATATCATGGTGTGTTGGAAGGTATTTGTGCAACAGTATTACCCCTAACCAACAACCTTCCATTTTGCCTGTCATGGAGTACTAGGTGGGGAGTGCCTGGTGCTGTCTGGGAATTCAGAGAAACAAAAAAAAATGTGGTTTTTAAATGGATAGCGTAATTTGTGAGGTTTGACCTGTCATGCCAAAAAACAAGCTAAATCACATTTTGGTCTATCATCTTGATTCAAAATGGTGGCCAGCAGTGCTTTTTGTTTGTTTTCTGGTACTCACCTTGAAGTCATTACAGTAAGTGCCACACTTTTAATATTTGGGGAGGAAAGGTGCTGGTACTGTGCACCCTTGAATAACCCCAGAAAAAAGCACTGGTGGCTAGCATCACAACATAAATGAAGACCACAGCCCTCACCCCAGGAATCCTTGTGCCAAGTTTGGTAGTGATATCTCAAGAGGCAGCCAAACCCATGGAGAATACATGGACAGACAGATGAAGCATTTTCTAAACTCCTAGGGCAGTTTTTTTTTAAAAAAGTTGCTCAGGCAGAGAAATGCCCACCTGCTCAGAACATTAAAAGGGAGTGGGCTGGGGGCGTGCCTGATGGGAGGGGCAAAGCCACATCCAGGATATTTCCCATCAAACACTGCCCACTGCTGTGGGTGGTAAGTGGCATACATCAGGCACTGGGGGAGATGTGAATAATTTTTTATCTCAGATGTACTGCTTTCTTAAGCCATCGTTCTATAGATGCCATTGAGGCACTTTGTTTTTCATTGATCATACTGTTGTTTTCCCTTCTGGGCTGTTCCGTAGTTTGGTTTTTCTATAAACTGAGATGGAAAACAAACAAATATGGTCATGAGAGTAAGTGACTTCCTCAGCGAATCTTAGGGTAGCTATCCTTGAAAAAGCCCTTCCAAGCAGCAAGGTGAGCTCCCAAATTTCCCAGGATATTTTAAAAGTCAAGCCACCTGTTGGTTGAGCAAGGGCTCATCCACACTTCCACAGCTTGTGGTGTACCTCCCCGCAACATGCCAGTTTTAATGGGCTTCTAATTTCACCTGGTCAGTTCTTTTACAGGCGGGGAGGGGTGTTTTTGCTCATAGCATGTGTGGAAATACATTCCCTAAATGCTGATGGGAATTGAGAGGCAATGTGAGTTTTGGGACGGCCTTCTTGCCAGAACAGGGCAGGAAGTGCTTGTTTCTTGTCATGAGGAGGGAAGCCCTGCCTGAACTTGTTTTGCTGCTATTTAAAGCCTGGCACCAGAGTAAGCAATTCCAGGCCTTGCAGCACTTATCTTTTACAGCTTCTCAATAAAGCAGGAACAAAGTGCAGAAGCAGACCTGCCGTGCCTCCTATCCAGCTGGCAGGTGTGGTGTCCCCTCGGAGCAACCCTTTCTCCTAGCTGCAGGGAGTTCCTGACAGCTTCCCCACTGTATGAGAGCAACAGCAGAGCAGGCATCCCTGAATGCCATAAAAAGGAGAAGAAACTTTGCTGCCAGAGAAGCAAAGCCAGCAGGCTTGTTTCTGCTTTGCCTTGAAGAGGAAAGACCTTTCGGAGCCTGACTCTGCTTCTGCTGTGCTGTTGTCTGTTACAAATCACTCTTGCACCTTCGTAGACATGATAGAACTACATCCTCATTAATCACACTAATTTATCCAGCTACAAACAGCCTTTCAACAGTTGGAAGAAATATGATGAGGTAGAAACGTATCGTCTTGCATTCCTCCTCAAAAGCAACATTGGCGGAGCTGAAACCCAATCAGTGCATCAGTTCTGGGAGCAAGTCATAGATTGAACAGGCCAATTGACAGGGATTAATCTCAGCATGGATCCTGTGACTGTTTTAGTCCACTCTCTTTGAGCTTGTTTAAGACTTTGTCCTTTTCAGGATAGATAAAAGAAAGTCCTGCACATGGTGCATAATTAAACTATGGAACTCACTCCCACAGGAGACAGTGGTCACCAGCTTGAAGGGCTTTAAAAGAGGATCAGACAAATTTATGGAAGTGAAGGCTATCAATGGCTACAAGCTATGGTGACTATGTTGTACCTCAATAGCTGAGGGCACCAATGCTTCTGAATACCACTTGCTGGGAACTGCAGAAGAGGAGAATGGTCTTGTGCTTGGGTCCTGCTTGCTGGTTTCCAACAGACATTTGGTTGGCCGTTGTAAGAGTAACATGCTTCCTTTGCCTGATCGAGCATGGCTTTCGCATTCTTACTTTTAACTTATTACTGACTTCTAAGATAGAGCTTCTGACTATATACTGGAAGACCCTATCAGAGTCCAGCCTCTTGTTTTCACAGCAGCCAACCAGCAGCCCTACTCAGTGGGAATCCCACAATCAGGACACGGCCACAAAACACTCCCATGCCTGTGTTATTAACAGATAAGGGGCAATCTTTATCAGGTGCTGGAGTTAACACTGCAACATTATTTCTTTGAACTAAACGTTGCTCTTGTGGTGATTATGCTGGGTTTAAGGCTGTGTGTGTGCATATACATAGACCTACAGAGCAAGGCAGGCCCCTGTCCCATGAGTTCTGTGCGCCTTTGCCTGGCAGTTTCTATCTATGGGCCTGAAATGGAATAGCCCTCCTTCAGATCTCTGCCTGCTAGTCTCACTTGTCCCTTGGCATTATGTAGAAAGGGAGGGAGGGTTGGTTTCTCACTTTGACCAATTCAGGACAGAAGTCAGACCCAGAGTGCCTCTCCAGTGTCCCCTCACCCAATTGTTATTAGCTGCAGAGGAAGGAAAGGCCAATGCCAGCCAGCCCTCTCCCCTTTCCCCAGTGGCTCATTTCAGCTTCCAGATGGGGGTGGTTAAGACATGGAAGTAGTATGAGGGAAAGCATTAGCCCAACAGTGCCATAACCAGTGGCAGAGCAAGCTGATTGGGCACCTGGGGTGGTGCGCATGACCTGTGCCCAGGTGTTGGGCCAGCCACACACAGGGGTGGGATGCCCCATGGGGCCTCCAAGGAGTCTGCCTGCCTCCTCCCACTCAGCTGCCCTACAGTTGAGGGGGAGGTGGCAGGCAGACCACTTGGGGCAGTGGAGCCTGCGGGCATCCAAGCCACCGCATCACTCTCAGGAGAGATGCATGGCTCAGGCTCCGCGGTGAGTGCCGCCCGACATTTTGCCACCCCCCTCAGTGGTGACACCCGGGGCAGCCCACCCCCACCGCACCCCCCTTCCTCCACCCCTGGCCATAACCCTCCCTCACCTAACTCCTTCTCGTTCTGGGATGGTCTCTCCTCTGCCTGTCGCCAGTAAAGGAAGGCACAGTGACCCTCCCTCGCTCCTGCCTTGGGCATAATGCATGCACTGTGCCTGGATTAATTGCATGATTGCGGTTAATTGCTCCTCGCTTTCCTGCTGAAGCCGTGGATCTCCTTGAGCCCCGTCATCCTCCGAGACGGGATGCCGCTTCCGTGAGCCTCTTTGCTCCCTGCTGATCTCTCTCTGGGATCTTGCAGAGTCAGGCAACCTCACCGTGCCCAGGCCACGCCTGTTCCCACAAAATAGACCCATCTGCAACAAGCAGGCATATGAGGTGCCTGGCAGGAAGGCTTTCTTTCACCTGGTACTTTGGCTTTGCAAAGTGCTTCCCACACTTTCTGTGGGTGTTTTGTGCAATCACCTGTTCCCATTGCATATAGACAGGAGTGTGATGCCATTCACTATCAGGGAGAAAGCAAACTCCAATGATGTTGTCCTTGACCTCGAAGATGTTTGCG